AAATTTTGTTCACGTATAAAAAACTCCTACAAACGGTATATATAATTAGGATAAACAAATTCTTTGACTTTTCTCGATCCATCTATCCTTGTTTATCAGTCCAATTGGATTGTTGACATGGAGGAAATTATTTTGTGATTTTTTGTCAGCTTCAAATTTTGTTTTCTGTGTCAGCAGATGGAGACTAAAGAAATTTGCAGTTGAAAATAGCTAGCCAGCACCTAATCATACGACAAGATTGAATAAATAAAATAAAAAATAAATGTAAATAGTCTGCAAGGTCGTACAGGCTATGGAGTTTTTTGATCTCGCCTATCCATCTGGTGGGTACCGGCCACTCAACACGTGAATCATGAATTTGAACAGGAAAAGAATTGCATGTTAAAAAAAAAAAAGGTAAATGATATACAAATAACATATTTTTACAATTTTTCTTTACAATTTTTATTTGTTATTAAAAAATAAATGAAATATAAAATTATGTGTTTCGATAGAATAAAAAAATTAATTATTAATAATATATAAAGTTATATAAAAAATTATTAACAAATCATTTTTTATAAAAATACACCTCAATGCAAAATGATTTTTTTTTTTGTTTGTAATCTTTCAATATATATATGTTTTTTATTAGGTTTTACAACAAGGCATCATAGTGGTGGAATCGGCTGGACTCAGATTTATTGTGGTACTTGCTACAATTGTTGACGATATGGTTGGGAAGCTGAAAAAGACCCCAACTCTTCTTTGGGATAACTCGAGTATGGCTTTGGTAGTTCTCGAAAGAGACTCCAACTATCCCTTAGCTTGGCACGCATATCCTATTTGGTACATGATTTAGTGGTCTGTGAACTGTTATTTATCAGATTGTTTGCTCTTCTCGGAAGCTAACTTACCAGATGATAATCTTCTCATTTTCGTAGCTCTACTTTTACCCCATGACAATTGCTTTGACAATCTGTAGCAGCAGTTAGCTCTTTTTACTTCAATAGATCCATCACATGATCATGTTTTCTATTACACGTGATGGAAGTTTAGCTTCTACTAACCGTTTATGGCACATGATTAATTATAAGAATGATCTATATAATCGAGTTGCTTAATAAACCACATGATTTCTTAT